TCATTTACACTTTTTAGGAGGAAATCACATTCTTCTGAAAAGCATACCTTTTTTTCATACAGCAGTTTAGAGGGAAATAGCCCTATCTTTCAAAATTGAAGTCAAAATCTATTAAATGTTTTTTCAGTTGCTTGGATCCAGGGACTATTATTTTGTCAGCTAATTGAATCTCCTCTTGAGGTCATTATAATAAGGTTTACCAACACTTATAAACAACAACACTCACAACAAGAACAATGCCGTTACTGTTGAGTTGATTCCGATTCATGGGGACCCCATGTGTTACAGAGTAGAATTGCTCCGTGGGGTTTTGTTGGCTGTCACCATATGGAAGCAGGCTATCAGGACTTTCTTTTGTGGCACCATTGGCTGGGTTTGAACTGCCAACCTTGAGATTAGTAGCCTAAAAATGCACACAAATTGTGTACATTTGCTGGTATACTATAATTTGTCTAAGGAGCTCTGGTGGTGCTGTGGTTAAAATATTTGGTTGCTAACCAAAAGGTTGACAATGAACCCATGAGTGCTCTGCAGGAGAGGGATGAGGCAGGCTGCTTCCATAAAGATTTAAAGCCTTGGAAACCCTATAGTGGCAGTTTGATTCTGTCCTGTAGGGTTGCTGTGAGTCAGAATTGACTGGATGGCAGCGGGTTTGGTTTTGGTTTGGCATTTATCGACCACGTTGATTTCAAAAAGCAACTGAAGATCAAGAAAATACTTCTGAAATTCAATTTGTATAAAGGGTGATGTTCAGGCTGGGAGAATGATTCTTGGCAGCCTTTTAACTGTTCCTGGTAATTACTAACAATGATAGTAACAAAGTAATTACTAGTGTGTAGCATAGTAATATACAATGTGTTACATTATAAACACATCGTAAAAATGTTGCTATTATGTTGTGTGGTTTTGTTTAGTAGGCTGATTTTTTTAAGACCTGCATATCCAATTATTCGAATGGCTCAGAGCAGTGCCACTGACATGGACAAACTCAGAAAAATAATTACCTTTCAGTTCTATGGGAAGGAAATCGGATACAGATGAGCTTCCTCAATAATTACTTGCATAAGAGAAAGTGATGACACATTACGATGTCCTCTTGCTTCTCCTTTTGGTTTATTTGCTAAGGCAGATGAAAGGGTTTTTTTTTTTTTTTTCCCCCATTTAAAATCATCAAGGTTTTGGTAGAATATCTCTACTGACCATTTAAACCTGATACTTAGAACACATCCCACCACCTCTTTGCTCCAGGAAGTATTTTAGTTTAATAATTAAAATGAATTAATAATAAGTCATGTTGCTATTGTTTTTGATTGCCATCTAGTTGGTTTGACTCGTGGGGACCCCATCTAAGTCATAAAGCAGGAAATACATGATACTAGGCTTTTCTGAGAGGTCCCTGTGCCATAGTTAGTGACATAATCACCACTATTTGTACCACCCATCTGTCAGTTTGTCCTATTGTGGTGGCTTGTGTATTGCTGTGATGCTGAAGCTATGCCATCAGTACTTAAGTACCACAGGGTCTCCCATAGTAAACAAGTTTCAGCAAAGCTTCCAGTCTAAGACGAGGAAGAAAGGCCTGAAAACCAACGCTATGGATCACAACAGAATATTGTCTGATATAATGATGGAAGACAAACCCCTTTGGTTGGAACATACTCACAATACACAGTGGCTAAAAAATGGATACAGACGTGCCACTGAATGTGAAAATGGTGCAGGCCTGGGCAACATTTTGTTCTGTCATACATGTCAGCAACTAACAATGACACATCTAGTTCTGAGGATTCCCCTCAATGGGGAGATCTAACGGTATCCAGTGATTTTTGATTATGCATTTCTGAGATGTCAGGTGGTGCATTATACTGGGCAAATTTGCTGCAAAAGACCTCTTCAAAGTGCTGAAGAGCAGAGATGTCTCTTTGAAGACTAAGGTGTGCCCAACCCAAGCCATGGTATTTTTAATTGCCTCATATGCATGTGAGAACTGGACAATGAATAAGGAAGACTGAAGAAGAGGTGATGCTTTTGAGTTGTGGTGCTGGCAAAGAATGCTGAAAGTACCATGGACTGGCAGAAGTACAAACAAATCTGTCCTGGAAGAAGTGCAGCTGGAATGCTTCTTGGAAGCAAGAATGGCCAGATTTCGTTTGACCTACTACTTTGGTCATATTGTCAGAAAAGACTATTCCCTGGAAAAGGATATGATGCTTGGTAAAGTGAAGGCTCAATGAAAACGGGAAAGACCCTCAACAAGATGGACTGACACAGTGGCTGCAACGATGGGCTCAGGTACAGCAAGGATTGTGAGGCTGGTACAGGACCGGGCAGTGTTTTGTTCTGTTGTACACAGGGTCGCTATGAGTTGGAGCCGAGTCAACGGCACCTAACAACAACAACATACTTTTTTTTTATTGTTGTGAGCACGTTTAGGGAACTATCAGAACTATGGTTTTTACTATGAGTGAGATGGGGAGATTTGGGGGTGTTTTGAGCATAGTAGTGATGTGATTTGGAGTCCCTGGATGGTGAAAACAGTTAATACACTTGCTGCTATCCAAAACATTGCAAGTTTGAATCTACTTAGAGGCACCTCAGAAGGAGAACCTGGTGATCTCCTTCCAAGAAATCAGCCATTGAGAAGCCTGTGGAGCTCAGTGTTACTCTGGCACACGTGGGGTTGCCATGAGTGAGAATCGACTCTGTGGCAACTGATTTTTACAAGTAATGGTATGATCTAACTTTACAGGATTACTTTGGTTGCTGTGTTGGAAAGGAGCCAAGAGTGGAAGCAGAGAGACAAGGCAGGAAACTATGGAGAGATGACAGTAGCTTGGCTTACCAAAGCTGGTAGAGTAGAAGCAGTGAGAAGCATATTCTGGGTAAATTTTGAAGGTAGAAGCAACAGGATTTGCTGATGGGTCTCATTGGGTGTGAGAAAAATGCATCAAGCATGACTCTAAATTTTAGGGGTTGAACACAGCAAGGGTGAATTTGGTCAGACAGGGAGGACTGTGGTGGGGTGAAGGAAGCAGGGTGTTCAGGGAAGATAAGGTGTTCTTGACGTTTCTTGCTCCGGCCCCTGGATGCTTCTGAGCCTGAGCTGTCTCCCTACCCATCCCATGCCAGATCCCACCTCAAGCTCTTTAGTGACACTACTAAATTTCCCATCTTGTCCTCATGTCCTTGGAGAGTGGTTCTGTGCTGATGGGTTGGCAACTCCTTGCCTGGGAAGTTGTGGAGAGTCCATTGTCAGTTGGAGTCTAGCAGAGACAGTTAGGGAAGAGTTTGGGTCATCAGTTTTCACTTCTCCTGCAAATGGACTGTTGGTAATGGCAGTTGATTCTTGGCAGCTATTTTGTTGTTTATAGCAATGACCTATGCTATAGTGAAGGTAACAGTAATTAGCAGCCTTTACAGTTAGATATACAATGTGTGACATTGTAAACATGTCATAGAAGTGTTACTGAGAAGATTGTTGAGATGGGTCATCCAAAACCCTGGTTCCAATGGAAGATCCTTTCTTTATGATTCTGAACTGGCTTAGTTTAGTATCCTGGGTCAGGGCTTTGTAAAATTTACTGTGCAGATGAATCTCATAGGGATCTTAAAAAAAAAAAAAAAAAAAAAATCTGATTCTAATTTAGTAGGTCTTGGGGGTGGAGAGGACTGAGAGTCTATATTCTTAACATTAATTCCAGTGGAGATGCTATTGCTGTTGGTCCAAAGACCAAACTTTTGAGTGGAAACATTCCTGGTGAATTTCTGGAGTATTCAGTTCCTCATCCTCCTCACAAAGATTCAGGCGCTTCTATCCTGATTAATGTGACCTTTGAAGAATAGATGGCATTTGCATCAATGGAGAGTAGTGAGAAGGCCATGTTGGGACCTAATGGGCACAGGAGAAGGGGAAAGTAGGCAGAGGGAGAGGTAGGACAGAGGTGACAATCAGCACCTTCCTCCAAATACCTGCTGCCTGTTCCCACCCTGGGGGCATTGGTGGTTCAGTGGCAGAATTCTCACCCATGCAGCCACTGGCTATCTATCCCTGGAGGCTTGCGTGTTGCTATGATGCTAATGCTGAATGAGTCTCAGTGGTTTCCTGACTGTAATAGGCTAGGAAGAAAGGCCTGGCAATTTACTTCTGAAAAGCAGCCAGTGAACACCCTGTGGATCACAACGGTCTGATCCCCAACCAATCATGGGGATGGCAGACTGACGGCTTTTTGAGAAGTGTGAATGGGTTGGAGCCTCTGTGTTCTAGATTAATGAGGCTGTGACCTCAACAAATCTTTATGAAGAAGAACAGCTTTTTTTCCTCTCTCTCTCTCTTTTTAATTTTTATTGTGATTTAGGTGAAAGCTTACATAGCAAATTGATTTTCCATACAGCAGTTCATATACATTTTGTCTCATGACGTCGACTGCAATTCCCCACAATATAACAGCTCTCTTCCCACTTCCTCCCCATGGTTACCTCTTCCCTATGTCCTTCCCTCAAATGACCTCCCACCCCCCCAACCTGTCTCCCTGTACATACACTGCTCTTCTGTTTTCTCTGATTGATCACTCCAAGGAGTTTATCTACCTGATGTAAATGTTCACCCCATATGCCAGTCTTGTTTTGCTAGAAGCCATGGGAGTGAGTTCAATTCCAGACCTGAAGGGCAGTTAGGGACCGTAGTCTCAGTGGTCTCAGCAGGCTCTATTAGACCAGCAAACCTGGTTTTATTTTATTTATTTATTTAAATGATTTTGAGTTTTAAGAACAGATGTTTTTAAAGATAGGAAGAAAAGCTGCAAAAGAATCATCTAAATTTAAGTTTAGCTGATCTGGGCAAAACTGCAACATGGAAAGGAAACTGAGCCCTGACAGAGTTTCCCCATTCTTGGAATGCTACCAGTCATTTCAAGCCTCTTGAATATTAAAAAAAAAAAAAAAAATTGAGCTTCCTGATTAAAGAGAAATACTTATGGTCTCATTTTCTTTTTCTTTTCCAGCAAGTGACTGGCAGAAGTTTTGGTGATAAAGATTTTCGGTCAGGGTTAGAAAATGGAACCCTCCTCTGCGAGTAAGTATAGCCTGCATGCAGTTGTTCTTATGAAACACACACACGCACACGCACACACACACAAATGCCATTCAGTTTGTCTATAAGAGCTCTGGTAGCATAGTGCCTAAGGCACTTGACTGCTAACCAGAAGGCTGG